TGCTGCTGCTGCTGCTGCTGCTGCTGCTGCTGCTGCTGCTGCTGCTGCTGGTGTCTTGGGCGACTCCGCCGCCGCCACAAAAAACGCTTGTGCGCTACTCTTTCGCTACACTTTCTGCTGTTTGCTGCAGTGCACTGCTGCTGCTGCTGCTGCTGCTGCTGCTGCTGCTTGTGCTGCTGCTGTAGTGGCGTTGCTGTGGCAGCAGCTCAGACTCACCAGTCCTCGGGAACTGCCGAAGAGCGAGACCAGTGGTCACATCCCATAGAATGCCTGCAGCAAAAACTAACCCCCAAACCCCAAACCCTAAACCCTAAACCCTAAACCCTAAACCCTAAACCCTAAACCCTGCAGCTGACCTCTTCTGTCAAGGCCTCCCGAAAGAAAAAGATGCGTCAGTTCATCATGGGCGCCAACGCAGGCCACAACTCCCGTGTGTTCTCCTGCAGCAAACCAAAAGCAGTGCAGCAGCAACTTGCTGCCACTCTGCTGCAGCGCAGCGGCAGCAGCAACTTGCTGCTGCAGCAGGGGGCACCCTGCTGCTGCGCAGCCGCAGCAGCAAGGGGCACTCTGCTGCTGCACACCCGCAGCAGCGACCTGCTGCTGCAGCACAGGGGGCCCTCCGCTGCTGCGCAGCCGCAACAGCAGCAACCTGCAGCAGCAGCAGCAGCAACAGCAGCAGCAGCAGCAGCAGCAGCAGCTGCTTGCCCTTGTACTCATGCAGCACTCCGTGCTGCGCGCCCAAAAGGTAAATAGTTTTGTCCGAAGCGCCAGCTAGAAGATGATCTGCATCTCCGAAGAAGAGGAGGGAGTTGACGGAGCTGGCGCCGCAGCGGAAGCTGCGCAGACACCCGAAACGGAGGAATTCAAGTTCCGCCTCCGGGGCTTCCCCGGGGCCCCCGAGCGGCTCCATGGACTCCTTTTGAAGAAGAAAAACAATTTTAATTGCAAAAAACGAAACGGGGACGCAAAAAGAATTGTTTTGAGCCGAGATCGGCCGCCACTGACGCGGCGGTTCCGGCGGCGCCGCCGCCCGAGCTGTACGTACACCCCAACTGCCGCCGCCGCCAACCCCGCCGCCCTCCAGCGTCACATTTTTAAAAATTAAAAAGAATTTGAAAAGTTTTTCGAATTTGGAGTTCAAGTTGCCGCCAGCAGCTCTCAAAAGCGCCGCGCAGGCGCTGCATGCAGCTTCGAGGGGGAAAGGGGGGCCCCCAGGGCCACAGTTGCGTTCAAGAGGCCCCAAAAGGCTTTTTATTTCGCTGCGAAATCCCCCCAGGGTCTTCCTGAGTGCCCGCGCGGGCCCCGTTTGCTGCAGAAGAGCAGCAGCAGCAGCAGCAGCAGCTGCTGCTGCTGCTGCTGCTGGGGCCCTGGGGCTCCTCTTTGAGTTCTCGCATTTCCCGTTTCTTCTCTTTGGCATTTTCTTTTTGCTTCTCCTCCTGAAGGCCCTTAACTGCGGAAACTGCGAACGCCGGCTGCTGCAGCAGCAGCAGCAGCAGCGCCTCAGCAAGCACAAGAGGGTTTGTTGCTGCTGCAGTGAGGGGCCCCTCGGGGCTCTCTCGGAGTTCTCTTTTCCTCTTTTCGCTTTTCTTTTTTGCTGCTGCTTCTTCTTCGGGTGTCTGTACACTCCAGCTGGGCAGCCGCTGCGCCGCGGCCGCAGCAGCAGCAGCAGCACCCGCCGCCCTCGCAGCAGCAGCAGCAGCAGCAGCAGCAGCAGCAGCAGCAGCAGCAGCGGTTGTTGGGGCAGCAGCAGCCTCTCTCCCCCGTCGCGCTGCGAGCGCCTCCTCCGCGCCTCCCGCACCGCTGCACCCGCTGCACCCGCAGCAGCAGCAGCAGCAGCAGCAGCAGCAGCAGCAGCAGCAGCAGCAGCAGCAGCAGCAGCAAAATGTCGATGGAGCAGCTGATGGCGCTGGTGCCGCTCGAGGCGGCGCTCAGCCACAAAGAGAAAGGCCGGAAGTCGCGCTGGGAAAGAAAGAAAGCGCCCGAGGGCAGCCGCTGGGGCTCCGAAACGGTAACTCATTTTAGCAACTTTTTCTGCCATTTAATGGAATTTAGAAGGCCATTTAAGCCATTTAGAAGGCCATTTAAGGCCATTTAATGCCATTTTAGGCCATTTATAATGCCATTTAATGCCATTAATGCCATTAATGCATTTAGAATGCCATTTAATGGAATTTAGAATGCCATTTAATGCCATTTTGACCATTTAGAAGGCCATTTAAGCCATTTAGAAGGCCATTTAATGCCATTTTAGACCATTTAGAATGCCATTTAATGCCATTTATGCCATTAATGCCATTAATGCCATTTAGAATGCCATTTAATGCCATTTTAGGCCATTTAGAATGCCATTTAATGCCATTTGAGGCCAAGTTTTAGTGCCATTTATGCCATTAATGCCATTAATAGCGTTAATGCCGTTCGTGCTGTGTTAATAATGCCACTTTTGTGCCATTTTAGTGCCATTTTAGTGCCATTTTAGTGCCATTTTAATTCCATTTTAATGCCATTTTAATGCCATTTTAATGCCATTTTGATTCCATTTTAATGCCATTTTAATGCCATTTTAATGCCATTAATGCCATTAATGCCATTAACTGCTCGTTTGTGTCTTTTGGGTCTTTGCCCTCTCTCAGTTTTATCTTTTTTTTTGTTTTTATTCTTTTTTTTGTTTTTATTCTTTTACTCTTTTGTGTTGTCGTTTATCTTCCCCACTGCCAGTTGTTTTCGTTTTCCCCTTTTTCCTCTATTTTCACTTATCTTTTAAATTTCAATCAATTTTAATCCATTTTAACTAATTCTAATCAATTTTAATTGATTTTAATCAATTTTAATTGATTTTAATTAGTTTTAGTTGATTTAAATTGATTTAAATTGATTCCAATTGGTTTAAATTGATTAAAACTGGCAATTTTTGATTAAATTTTGAAATAGTTGGCGATTCCGCGGCCACTGAGCCCTCGGTTTCTGTCAGTGGCCGCGGTGTCAGTTGGTGGATTGCAAAAACACGCGTTTAAAATAAATAAAATTTTAAATAAAGAATAAATTTGCAGAAAAGAATTAATTTGAACAAAAGAATTAATTTAAACAAAAGAATAAATTTGAACAAAGAATTGATTTGAAGAGTTGCGTGCAAGTTGAACTGGTGCGCGCGCGCTTGCGGAGCTGCGGATACACCCGAAGAGCGCGGGTGGGAAGCGCGGGAATCCGCGAGTTTGAGCGGTGGAAAGTTGAAATAAAAGCGGAAAATGAAATTAAAAATGAATTTGGAGTTTAATAATCCGCGAGATCGCGCGTTTGGACGCAGGACAAGCCGTTTTTGCCGCCTCCGTTCGTGGACCTGCCGATCGGGATGACGCCGCTGCAGGTGGACCGTTTTCTGCGGGAACAGCGGCTCGAAGAGCTCCACAGAAAGCTCTTGCAAAGCCGACTCGAACTCGGAGACGCTGACATCCGGCCGGCCTCTCCGCCGCCAGTTTACGACAAAAACGGCGGCCGCGTCAACACCCGCGAGGCCCGCGCCCGCGCCGCCATGCTGGCCGAGCAGCAGAGCCTCCTCGAGTTCATGCTCAACTCCCTCAAGGGCTTCGTCCCGCCCCCCGACTTCAGGCCCGCCAAGAAAGTCCGCAGAATCGAATTCCCCCATGAGAAGGTCCGCCACTCCTCCTGCTGCTGCTGCTGCTGCTGCTGCTGCTGGTTTGCTGCTGCTTTGCTGCTGGTTTGCTGCTGCTTTGCTGCTGGTTTGCTGCTGGTTTGCTGCTGCTGGGGGGGGAGAGGGGGAGGGGTGATCCTGGTTTGCTGCTGCTGCTGCTGCTGCTGCTGCTGCAGCAGCGGCTGCAGCAGCGGCGTTTCGAGCGTTTCTTTTCCAACGAATTCGCCGTTTCTCCCCCCACAATTACCACTGCAGCTACGCCTTTATCACATTTATTTATTTATTCATTTATTTATTTATTTATATTTATTTATTTATTTATTTATTTATTTATTTATTTATTTATTTATTTATTTATTTATTTGTTTTTGCAGTACCCAGACTACAACTTCATGGGCATTATCATCGGCCCCCGCGGCTGCAACCACAAGCGGCTGGAGGCGGAGAGCGGCTGCACCATTTCAGTGCGAGGGAGAGGCACTCAGGTTTGTTGGAATTAATTCAATTAATTCAATTAATTTAATTAATTTAATTAATTTAATTAAATTAATTAATTTAATTTAATTTAATTTAATTTAATTTAATTTAATTTATTTATTTTATTTCATTTTCCTGTTTTTAATTCTGGTTTTAAGCCTCAGTTGTTCTCTCCCGTTTGCACTCCTCGGCGCTTCCGCATTCAGCACTTCTGCAAAATTCAGATTCAACTTTTATTTATTTATTTATTATTTATTTATTTATTTATTTATTTATTTATTTATTTATTTATTTATTTATTTATTTATTTTGTTGCTGGCGGCTTGTTTGTTTTTGTTCCATTTACTTCTACCGTGTAGAAGCTGCATCGCCGCACTTGCAGATTTCCATTTTTAATTTCCGCAAAAATAAATTCAAATAAATAAATCAAAATGAAACAATATCTAAACCCTAAACCCTAGCCTTTGTTAGGGTTTTGAAGGGGTTTTGAAAGGGTTTTGAAAGGGTCTAGAGAGGGTTTTGAAAGGGTTTTGAAAGGGTCTAGAGAGGGTTTTGGTTTTGAAAGGGTTTTGAGGATTTTGAGATGGTTTAGAAAGGGTTTAAAAAGGGTTTTGAGGGTTTTGAGAGGGTTTAGAAAGGGTTTAGAGGGTTTAGAAAGGGTTTAGAGGGTTTAGAAAGGGTTTAGAAAGGGTTTAGAAAGGGTTTAAATGGATTAAATTGAATTGGATTTGTTTGGATTTGAACAGAAAGAAGGAAAGAGAGACCACCAAACTGACGAAGAGGCCAGCATGCCCATGCATGTGCACATTATGGGAGACACAGACGAGGCCGTAGAGGTAACCCTAAACCCTAAACCCTAAACCCTAAACCCTAAACCCTAGAGCGCGAGCCCTAGCTTCTAGCTGCGCAGACTTAGCTTCAGCGCCCCCCCTCCACTCCTTCACTGAGTCCACACAGAACAACAACACCACCACCACCAGCAGCACCAGCAGCAGCAGCAGCAGCAGCAGCAGCAGCAGCAGCAGCAGCAGCAGCAGCGCGTTGGGGTGTACGTACAGCGCGCGGTGGCGCTGGTGGAGCCGCTGCTGGACCCTTTGCATCCGGCTCATGAGGAGTTCAAAAGAAGAGGACTTGAACAACTTGCGCTTGTCAATGGAGTCAACTACAGCGACCTCGACCAACGCAGATGCGCCATTTGCCAGGCCCTCGGCCACCTCGGTTAGGGTTTAGGGTTTAGGGTTTAGGGTTTAGGGTTTAGGGTTTAGGGTTTAGGGTTTAG